AACTCCATTCTGTAATTTTCTCTTGTCGGGCGCAACTTCCTATTGCAACTTCTTGAAATTTAATTGTACCTTTTTTCCATTCACATTAACATTCCCCTCGGCTGGCGATGTAAATTAAAATATTTAATTTTCGCAGGGAGACTGTGCTTTGGAGGCATGTCCATAAATCTGGAAAGAACGGAAATTAGCTACCTCTTTAGTTGTCCTTTTGTCTCAATATTTCAACTCAAGATGTTGAGGGGGAAGTCGCTTCATCACGTCTTTTTGACAAATCAACCCAAAATTCTCAACTTATACATCATTATGAGTTTTATTTGTTGTGTTATAGTGAATACTTAACACTATCGTCCAAAAGGTTTCCGAATTATTATGGCGTTCAAAAGCTTCTGGCTACCCGATGGTTGATTATTAAAAATGAAAAAACAAATAGAAGCAAAAAAGTAATAAACTGTCATACCATCATTGTTCAGTTTAGTATCTAGTCTGATATGTAACTCAAATAACTGCACATCTCTTTGGTCAAAAAATCATCTTTACACATTCAGTACATGTGCGATGCCTGGTTTTATTCTGGTGATGTGCTCTTCAATTGATGTCTTTAAGTTCTCGTCCGTCTTTTTACGTTGTTTCAGGGCACCTTTTGTGAGTTGGGTTCTGTTTTATGACTGCCGATCAAATTCATTCAGAAGAAATTAAATGAAAAAGAAGTCTAGAGTGAGAAAAAGCAAACCTCTGATTTGCAATTGCGGTCTAATTATTTTCTGAGCAACCGTCATTACACAGTTCAAAGTGACCGTTGGTTGCATAATGTGTAAGTCTTTGCTCCGTGGAAGTCACTAGGTTAGCAAGAAGCTTGTGATGTTATATCCCCTTAAAGATCGTATCAATATGCGCAACAGAGAAAGCATCATTTAATGAGAGACCTCCAAAGACAATTGCGGACGCGAATCCATCTTTCATGGATGAAATTATGCAGTTGATAATCGCTGCTTTGTCAACCGAAAATGTTCAGTTTGGATTCGTCTATTCAAAACACCTTCCTGTTTTCACAAATACCTAATTATTTTGATTTGAGTCAGTGTGGACACAAACATTTTTTGTTCACAATGTTGATACAAAAATTGGTCCCGTGAGTAGAATCAAAATCTGCTGGTTATTCCAAAATCGAGAGGTTTGGTAAGAGATTATATACAGGGTCTGCGAACGGTTGGGAAATCTCGAAACTGGAGGACTACAGACCAAGATATGTGAATTGACCCAAAAATTGATAGTTTGCGAGATTATTGCTTGAGAAGTATTTCAGATTTTGGCAAGTTGGTACAAGGAGATTTTCTAGTATGAGAAACAAAAATCCGTTATTTTTTATAGCCAAACGTCTAGAGGACGCCACTTACAGCATTATTTCGATAAATAACTTATCATAACTTTTTTGTGCTACCCTGTATACAACAACTGACCGAAAAGTCTTATTTTCTTATTTGTACCATGATGATAAAGCATTTTTATAACATAATAGTCAAGTTGCTTTGGATAATGTCTGAGTAGCGTTGCTATGGTTTCTAATGTTTGTCATAATATTGCTTTTAACTTCATGAATAATTTTAAGTTGACAATAAGTTGTTAAATATCATGGAGTATACGTTTGATGAATATTCTGATATGCATTTAATGCCTGGATTGGCAAGATGTAATGCTTTAAAAGTACGAAGATTGTACGCTGACAGATTCCTTAACAGACACCTGCCTAATTCGAAGACTTTTGCAACTAATCGATCAGCGGCTACAAAAAACTGGTAAGAGATGATTATAGCCTCATTTTCCGGAGTTAAACCATTTGGATTTTAGGTGGTCTTGCTCAAAATATGGGCCGACATAGTGGAGTTCCCAGAACTGTACGTACAGCTGAAGTTGAAGAAAATGTTTTAGATGCTGTCTTTGAAAATCCTACAGTTGGGGTTACGAATGTAGCTCGAGAATCTCAAGTTTATATGCAGTATATGCAGTAAATACCATTTTTCAAGAGCAACTGCTCCATCCATACCACCTGCAAAAAGTACATGGTTTAAGCGCGGATGATGAACCCAAAAGGGTAGAATTGGTACTTTTCTCTTAAGGAAGTTTAACCACGACAATTGCCTTACTTCGTTAATATTATTTTCGGATGGAGCAGGATTTGGATAATCTTCACATTTATGCAGACGAAAACCATAATGCAATAGTATAAACCTGCCACCAAGTACTATTTCAAAATAATTTATGAGCAGGAATATTTAATAAGACCCGTTGAGGTACCACCTAAACTAAATGGCCAAAGGTATTCACAATTTCTTGAAGAACAATTACCCACTCTGCTGGAAGATCTTCCATTACAAACACGCATGAATATGTGGTTTATGCACGACGGCTGTCCACCTCATTTTACCAGATCACCAGATTTAAATCCTATGGATTTCTTCTTCTGGGGTGATTTAAAACGACGCGTTTACAATACGCCAGTGGAAATTGATCTCCGACAAAGAATTTTCCACCATAGCCAGGAAATGAAAAATAACAACCAAACGCTTTGGAGAGTACAGCAAGGATTAGTTCGTCGAGCTCGGGATTGTGTTAGGCAAGGTGGTAGTCATTTTGAACAATTTTTGTAGTTATTATTTCCGTTTATTAGTTTTGTTGCCATCCTCATTTGCTATTATTAAAAACCATAGCAACACCACCCAAATATTATCCAAAGCAACTTGATTATGTTATAAAAATGGTACAAATAATGCATTGGAACTTTTAAAAACAAATTTCTCGAAAACTATTAGCTTTAGACACTTCTAACAAGTGAACCTTTTTTGTTGTGGAAATACGAGAAAATAAGATTTTTCGGTTAGTTGTTGTATACAGGGTAGCACAAAAAAGATATGCTAAGTTATTTACCGAATTAGTGCTGTAAGTGGCACCCTCTAGAAGTTTGGCCATGAAAAATAACGGATTCTCGTTCCTCATACTGGAAAACCTCTCTATATCGAGTTTTATGCTAAAATCTGGAATACTTCTCAAGCAATAAGCAAAAATAGAAAATAAAATTGTAACTTTGATACAGGGTATCTCGCAAACTATCAACTTTTGGAAAAAGCTTTGTTTAGGTCAATTCACATTTTTTGGTTTGTAGTATCTCCAGTTTCGAGATTTCCCAACCTTTCGCAGACATCCTGTATAATCGCGAAGCGAAGATGCCTTGCTGCAGTATCCGAACTATGAAGCAGAAGCACTATTCCCTAATGGTTCTCAGAGCATTTATATTTAATGCCACCTCCCAATTTTATAGGATTGGCAGAATTCTTAATGGAAAAAAATATCAAAAGACCTTATTCATCCCGAGATTCTCGCGAGGAGAATATTTATAGTACCAGAATTTGTTATACGATCAAGACAACTATCAGAAGTACTAACTCAAGTCGTAAATATGTTATTTGTTCAAAAAACAACTGAAAGGTACGATATAAATCATAGAGCATCTAGTTTGATTTTCCAATGTGCAACCCACCGAACTTCTTTTAAAAGAACTTGATCGACGAGTCATAAACCAGTATAGATCTAATAAACAACACGCGAAAACAACTTGAAGATATTTAAAAGCAGCTTAAAACATATTTTCTCGAAGATAGTTCATCACTATAATACGTAAGTGAAAACTGAAAACAAAATTATGTGAATATTTAATTGCGTTGTCATTATTTGAGGTACATATTACCATGAAGGGTAATACAGGTATAACCAATAATTCTCTTCATTTGAATTATTATTTCTCTGTATGACCCTCTTTCCATTTGTTTTCTGTCTTAAGCATCAGTCGCTAAGTATATCAACTTTTGAAAGGTAGTGTATCATGGAAAAATAAATAGTAGCAGCGAAGGTATGGTAGGGGTAGTAGAAAATTCACAAAATGCTCGGCAGAAGTACGGTCGTATAAATAAGCGAGATTGCGGTATTATTTTCAACTGTTTCCGTGTCGGATACGTAATTGAATATCCAGCATGGTAAGCAACGTCGTAAAACTGAGTAGGCGGCGAAACGCAAACGAAAAAAGTGACAAGATAATAATACGGCTGGCAAGATAGCTGGACGTCTGAATGGCAGAATTCCGGATATACCAGGACGATTCAAAAGGTACTACATGCATCGTCCGAAAAAAAAATAAAGAGGAGAAAATACTTTTCCAACAAACATCACTTAGAAATCGGCAGAAGTGTCTACAATAGTTGGACCCTGAGTATAGCAAACGAGTAACACACTCGCCAAATTTTTTACATCCCTTTAATATGCTCAGATACGGAAGCCCTGGTTCTTTCAACTGTATGAGTCTATATACTCGAATGAAAAGAAGATTGTCTAAGAATGTGTGAACTTATAATTATGAATGAAGGGATGAAGAGTGAAAAGGCAATCATATGTTAGTGATCGAACCTTCAAAAAGTGGAAGTACTTTTCCAACAAACAATCTGCAGTAGATTGCATGATAGTTGGACTCTAAGGCCGAGCGCATACTGCAGATTTTTTATCGGGCGATAGTTTGATCGGAATCGGGCTGAGTGACCGTAGTTGTTGGTGTATTGCTTGATCGACCTTAGTACTTTGTACAGCTAGTCTTGAAAATAGCAACATGTTTAGTAAAAGAGTATTAATTTGCGCCATAATAGCAAGGAGAAGAAAAGTAAAGAAACGGGTTAGAGAGTTTTGGGTGCATCAAATGAACAGTAGTAGATTAAGTTTAGGAAAATTCTATACATTACATCAAAAATTAGTTGAATACCCGAAAAAGTTTTTTGCATTCTATAGGACGAGTCCAACCAGTTTCCAACAGTTCCTGTCTTTGGTAGGCCCACTAATAAAAAAGAAGGACACTCAACTGCGAATTGCTGTTCCTGTAGAGGAAAGATTAAGTGTAACACTAAGTAAACATAAAACAAGTTGCTTTAATTATAAAGAAATATATTACAAATCATATAACTCACTTTCTGTAGAGTCTGTAAAATTCGAAAGGTATGATTGAGCAGTGTCATAAATATGTGATGGTGTGGATGAATGCTCTGATTGTTGATGTGTTGTAATACTCTGTGACAAATTGGTGGGTTGTACAAAGTACTGAGAATTAGAAAAACTTGATGATGGTCTAGACGAAGCTGCTGAACCTGGTGAAGGTAAAGAGGCTGGTACGAAGGTTGAAGTGTGAGGCTGATGAACAAAATGTGATTGTCTTTGCAAAAAATTCGAAGGATCAAGCCTTGCCATTCTTAATTTTTAAAAACTCCTAAAATTTGAATTTTTGCATCTAGTTTCTCATCCGGAGATAGTGCTTTTAAGGAAGGAACAATCGATAATGCAAAGTTTGTATCTTCATCTTTCTCACTATTCTGCAAAGCATTTATTAAAGCTGTGTCGTCTAAATCCGAATTGTTCTTACAATGTTTTCTTTTTGCTCCTTTTGTTTTAGGCGTTTCAAATCTGGACCTTTCTTCATTCTCATCGACTTCTCTACTTTCATTACCTCCTCCAACATCGTCACTGGCATCATCTTGTTCTTCTGGAGAACCAATATTACTTTCTGTTGGTCTCATCTCAATACAAGGTAGAAGAAACAGCAACTTATCAAAGTATACGTATTTACGCTTTTTACTTGAAGCCTGGCCTGATTTAGTACTTTTTTGAGCATTGAGTTCCCTCCGAAAGCAAGTTCTCAAAGTTGCCCATTTTTTTGCACGTTATGCCCTGAAAAAAATTATTATATCAGGTACAAAAAAGTAATTTTAAAGCGTTCTTATGTGTATTTTTTTATTTACAAGTACTTGGCCTCCGGAGATAGTTTCAACTCACTCTCATATCAATATTTGCTTGGAGCATCCACAATAAGAGAAATTGTGGCAACAAGATGTGCGCAACTGTGGAGTATTCTCCATTTTATGCCAAGTAAAGAAGAACAGGATTGGAATCAAATTGCTGATGAATTTTACCAACGTACAAATTTTCCAAACGTAATCGGTGCAGTAGACGGAAAACACATCCGAATGGTACAACCACAGCATTCCGGAACGTATTTTAATTATAAAAACATTTTTTCTTGTGTATTAATGGCGTGGGTCGATGCAGATTATATTATATATGTAGTGATCCAGAGATATTTAAAAACTCTAATATTGGCAGATGCTTGCAAATCAGCTAAATATCCCTGATGGAAGAATGCTGCCTAATTATGAAAACGGAACCATAATGCCATTTTATGTAGTAGGCGACGAAGCATTCGGACTTCCAAGTCACATTTTACGCCCATATTCAAGAAATCGATCGACACATCCGCCAAAATTTGTACATATTTATATTATCTTAAAACATGGATAACCTCGTTCTTTCATCCATAACGAGTCAATATACTAGATCGAAAAGAAGATTGTGTTTCCCAAAAAGATCCCACATAGTGGCTCCTTTGAGCACCCATTCCCGCTCCGGCAATTGACTTTTTTCGCAAAAGCCGATACGCCTTAGGTCTCGCCTCTCTGATGCCTTGTGGTCCCTAAATATTAGACCACAATTATGAAGGGTATCCCAAAATCCAAACAAGATTTTGAATGAATAGATAGGACTCCATGTCTGACCGTTAAGTTGAACCATACATGTTTCAACTACTTTTTCACGCACGTTTCGGCAACCATTCACGTATTTTTCAAAATACAACTGACAATGACAGTATATGATATATATTGAGGTGTAAAGGTTCATTGTTTCTACCCCTTTGAAGTGGTATGTGGAGCGATTAGGAGATGAAACCTCACTGATTTTTTTATTTAGGCTGTTTTATGATGTGCTCAAAATACTGCTTCCTTTTCAACTTTGGCATCTGTTGCATCCCCGATGACTGCTGACATTTACTAAAGACATACTCAGCCATACTCGAATTACGGAAATTTTAAAATATATTATAAATACACGTTATGTGTAACGCTGAAAATACAAAATCAAATCAAAGTTATACTGGCCGTTAAATAAAACCACACACGTAGAATGACAGAATTCACTCACGTTCCGGCTACCTCGGTGGCTTTATAAAATGACGAGAAGTCTTTGCCTTCATTCTTATGTTTGTTGGCACCCTCGTAGACTTTTCTAGCCTAGCTGCCCTAACGTTATGCTTTTTAAAAAACAATCACTTATTCCGCAGAACTTCCGGCCGTTCTATTGTTTTACGGGGCATTTTCGTTTACTTAAGTGATGCATTATTTGCAAAGAAAGCAGGTTTCCGGTGCTTGTTTTCCTACAACTGGGGGGAGCATTTTTAATATTCCCTCTCCAAATTTGCATTTGCATTTCTTCGAATGCTGCTACACGTATTTGTACAATTTGAAGTTTTGAAGGATAGCCAAGCTAGGGTTCAGCTCGGTTCGGTGCCTCTAGCTATGTTAGTGTGTAATTATGGAACGGAAGTTGTTTTTCGCAAACTGCTATTCAATTCAAATCGGATATGCTGAATTTAAGTTCAGCGTTTCATATAAAAAATTATAGATATCACAGAAGATTACTAATACTTAATGAAAGAAACATCATCATCTTTGTTTCATATTTTTTTGTGTATGTCATTACACAATAGATCCAATATTATATATTATTTATTTATTCACACGAAAATCCAAATAGCTATATCCGCATCTAATAACATTGTAATTCACACTTCGGGCTACAGAAAAGATGAAAGATCGCGCGTTATTTAGACCGTCGCCGTCAACCAAATGTTTGTGCAAAAACCTTGCAGCTGCGTTTGCCCGATATTTTACAACCTCATTGTAAGGTACATTATACTGTGTTGTGAGTAATATTTTTTCGTGTAAGAATATTCTAAAGTCAGAAACCATTTTTAAATGAAATCAATGAGAGGCGAGAAACTCGTAGGGCACCTTACAATATCGGCAGTGAGCTTTAGTAAAACAGTAACGGTTAACGAATTACGTATTACCTCATTTCCCTCATACGTATTTTAACAAAATGCTATGTTTTTAAGTTAGCTGAAAGTATCAAATTTTTTAGTAAATAGTCAAAATGTCAGTTGCAATGCACGTATGCATATGTGGAAGTCAGAAGTACAATAGAGGGAATACAATGTAGCGAAAATTAAATAAAAGAAAGATACCGAAAGAAAAACCTAAGTGCATTCAACATAATGACTAGATAGGGCATTAGGTTTAAGGTCTTATATTATTAATTGTTTATTCATACTAGAGCTTCGGAAGTATAATTTGACGACGTTTTTCAAATAAGGGACAGATTTGAGATGACGTAAATTATTATACATGCTGTACGACGGGCCCCGGGACTCAAAGTTTATGGGGTCTAGAATAGATAAAATGTATGCTTCTAAATCATGACATTCTACAACCCCCCTCCCTCCCGATACTCAATTGTTGATCTATCCCACGCTAGCTTTGGTTTTCGGGCCCCACAGGTCCTCCACTGGGTTACTTGATTTTCTTGGATAATATTATGTAGTATAATTTATAGTACATATATTTTTTAAGTACTCATCAAGATCCAGTATAAATTATCAAGCAGTTTTACACCACAGTTCCAAGGAAATGAGGCTACCATGAACGCACACGCTATTGCTGCGATCTGAGAAACATTTATTTTCATGAAAGCACAAAGAGTGCACTAGTGGCTGAGACAATATCTACGCCTTGTTCGTGTCACTGTGTTTGGATTAAATTGCACTACATAGAAAATTGTACTAGAAGCTGTTTCGAAGGCGTGTAAAGTATAGAGTCAACCTACTTGAAGCCACTTGTCATTCTATTTATATTTCGACTTTCTTTTATCCGAATGATTAATTAAGAAACTGTAAATCCTAAAGCTTGTTACCTGTATTAGCAGCATGCCAGTCTAAGTTTCACAAAGAAAACGAAAACTAGAGGCATCGTACATTGGTACCAAGATTTGAATCAACTATCTTTACAGTCAGAAGAAAAAAATCGCTGTTATATATTCGCTCGTACAGCGTGGAAAGTTCCATAAAAGCGCTCGCGTGCCTCGTAAGCGGAAATGAGAGGGTTAGAAGCCGAGAAAAAAGGACCGAAAACGGCGAAGCGACACATCGTACCAGGACCTAGCTGCATTAGCAAAACTTTTTCGGGTATAAACTATGGCCAGGTTTAAATGAACAGGGCAGCGTTAATCGCGTTTTAACTGTCGTATAATTCAGGCTAAATGGGCGAATGAGGCGAGGGTTATGAGCTAGGACTAGAAGGCTCACTAGTTGTGGTATTATTTCAAGTTGTGGGGCACTATCTTAAATATTTACCAACATAAGTTTTGCCAATGACAAGGCGGAACATAACATTGCCTTTTTCGCTCCGGATAAACTTTCTTCAGGTTTTTCAGATTATTTTGATTCAACAAAGTTTCAAGTGAGATTTCTATAAAGTTGACGGATTAAAATCTAAAGGCTTCTGAAAATCGCTAAAAACTCGGTTCAAAGCTTTTGACGTCTTCAAGTGCCCAACTTGAAGTCCAAACCTTTTTCTGCCAGACACCGACAAATACGTACGGCCTTATCTTTATTTGCTGTTTTTAAATAATTTCCATTATATATTTCACCGTAACATGCAAGAACCAGTCATCAAACTAACGTCTACCATTTCGTATTCGGTGCAAACCTACATCCTTTTCACAGTGACTTGACAAACGGAAAAAAGCTAAAATCTCTTGATGGAAAGTCAGGGCGATATAGTTTATGATCCAAGACCTGGATTCCAGATTTTTCAAAAATCGATCATCTAAGCACGTGTGCCAGTGCGTTGTCATGAAGATACCACTAGTGCAGCAGCGATCTAGGTCTTGAATTTTTCATTACGCCAAATAGTTGTGGGAAGCAATCTGCTACGCAACATTTAGCTGTGACTGTCTTTTGTATAAGAAGCTCAATGCTCTCCACTAAATCTTATTTTCTGAAGAAAAGATAGCATATAATTCGCCCAATACTTTGTTCAGAAATATTCAGAGCTTCTGCTAACTGCGTGATTCGCCTGCCGCCGCCTGCACTTGGATCTTCAAGTTAAATAATCTACGTTTGAAATGTAAATACCATCTCTCAATGATCCTTGAAGGCGACATATCCTCACCAAATACGGTATGTATTTCGTCCTTGCATTTTTTAGTCAAGAAACCGCGGCGAACAGTCACATTGAAAAACTAATCGTTTATTTGCATTGACAGCTAAATATACGTATACGTTGTATTTGGACTAAGTAAAGCGGGAACCTTATAAAAAATTAACATAACCTAGCTGCATTATCGTTAGTTGTTATAGGACAAAACATATGCCGTGTCCTACGCATTCAAGGCTTATTTTATTCTAAAGCTTTGTTATTTAGTGTGTCGTATGCTAGACAGACGAGCGCAGTATTAGTAACCAAATTACAATGCAAAAGAACCCAAGCCCAAAATATTGTTTGAGGTCTTGTAGAGAAAGGTTAGAAGCTTAGCTTAGATACTTGGATACCTCAAAAATATTAATTTTTGCCCAAGCATTTTTCAATGAAATTTACCATCTTTAGGGTCCCAAACTCTTATAACTCGA